ATGATATCACCGAGGATCAGCGTGAGGCGCTTTTGGATTTGCTTTTGGTCCGTGGACACAAGGATATCGGACCCGAGGTCAGGCGGGAACTGCTGGCAGGTAGAGGACGAGGTGTGGTTGCACCAGACCCGGAGAACCAAGGTGCTATTGATGCCGGTGATGATACGATGGATGTCACGTTATAGACGAAATGCTGCGGGACCGCGTTAGGAGTATAAACTGGGAGGCGAGACGAGGTGCCCCCCGGTGACTTCGAAAAATTTGCATCTTGCTATGATTCAATCACGAGTCGTGACCGGCATGGGCGTTATTTTTGGGCTATTGAATTGTTACATCCATTTCTTTTGTTTCTTAGGCACATATTATTCCCACGGTTACACATGAGTTTGGCAGCTAGGTGCTTTCACTTGAGCACAGTAAAAGGTAGATAAGAATCAATCAACCCTTTGGATAGAAAACGAGGGGGTGAACACATCTTGTTGTTACGTACAGCATTGTTTTCATAAGCGCATGCCACCATTCATTCATACATCATTCCTACCTTCCGACGGAGTGCAACAAAGCGTGAAGGGGGCGACGGCCCCAAACCTGAACAGGGCTGTAGGATTTCTAGAAGCGTTTTTAATTAAGTACGAGACGCTTTTTGCCCCCTCTCCCCCACTCCCCCTGTCTCTCGATAAGTGTCTAGGAGTATATTCGATATTGCGTCGGAGCTAAGATCAATCTAACGGCGAAGGGAGACCGTCGGACTTAATTATTTAGATATCAGGCCATGACCCGAATAGTACTACTGTGCATGCGCATTGCGCAATACTGAGCCCGTCGAGGGTGACCCCGTGTTTCTGGTACATTCCACCCGCTAACCTAGTCGGTCAAGGAATGCGGGAAATTGAATAACAAGTTCCAGACCCCCAAGATACTGGTGCTCCAATGATTTCCCCTGCCACGACCACAACATTGGAAGCCCCCTTCTGGCCCCATCTTTCACACCCTCCGTCTCTAAGAATGGCGCCACGGTGGATCAAGTTCCACGGATTCACTTTGTCTATCACCAATGAACTGCGCCAACCACGTTCTTTGGCCCCTGGGAGACTCTTTCAATCTAGCCCTGGATGCCACACTCAAAAAGGAGTGCACAATAAGAGTCCAGACGCGTTCACACATGGATGGTAATAAGTGATAACATCAATGAAAAATAAGGCCTCCCAGATCGAAAAACAGTTATGACTACACACTACACACAAAAGAGCGAAAGCAAGGCTGTATGTAATACAGAATAGAACTACTATCTACTAAAGCTTGCGGATTTAATTGCCGGACAAAGTAAGACATCGGCGGGGGTCGTGTTCAAATAGAGGCAGTGCGAGAGATAAAAATGGCACAGGCATCATCGGAAGAATAATCACCGTGGGGAATTGGGCTAGAACAAAGTGGAATGGAGTAAAGTCCGTCAATCATCTATCGACTATGTAGTTAGTATCTACTATGTACGTACCTATCTCCAAGGTATCTACGGAGTATGATCCGCAAGATTGCGAGTTGAGACCACAAGAGGGGCGCAGGGAGCCACCGGGGGAGGGTTCCACCTTGAGAGCGAGACTTGTCGCAGGTAAAGAGGCCTTTGAGACGGAAGGTGTGAAAGATGGGGCCAGAAGGGGGGCTTCCAATGTTGTGGCAGGGGGAAACACACTGGGGGGGATCTCTTCTCTCCCTTCGCAGTCCCTCCCCTCCCAAGCATTTGGCTTACAGAACGTACTGTGTAAAGTTACGGGGAACCATGGTGCCTGTAGTATTTACCGTACGGTCATCTGGGGCGCAAAAGGGCACATTCACCCAACCGGACATTGCACAGGGGCGTAATGGGTCTGTAACGGTTACCGGAACTTGGCTGACGACGATGACTCCGCCCCCTTACTTGCAGGGAGGCGGCCTGATCTGACCACGTTGGCCTTTTAAAGAGTCGCTCACTCCCCCAGCTCTCACAGTCGATCAGGAAATCGTCCTCACTCTCATCCTTTTATTCTTTCTTGGTTATTGAGGACACCTGTCCTTCTTGGCCCCATCCATCTTGTTGTCTGGTACACTTGACCTCAGGCACCACTTGGCCAGGCCTGGCCCCCCCAGCTTCCCCCGTTATGACACCGTGGCCTGTGTTCCTGTGACACGGGCAAGCAGACCTCCACAACAAGCTGTGTCGACCTACATCACCGTCCTCCCTTGCAGTGCGGTTTAAGATAAGGCTCATAGTAATTTGATTGATCCACAATCAAAGATCAATCACCTGTCACGCTTGCAATAATGGAAGAAGCATTCTCTCCAGTCGACTCCCTCGCCGGCTCCCCGACGCCTGAGTTGCCATTGCTGACAGTGTCCCCGGCGGACACGTCGCTTGACGACTCGTCGATGCAGGCAGGGGAGACCAAAGCCGAAGAGAAGAAGCCTGTGAAGAAGAGAAAGTCATGGGGCCAGGAATTGCCTGTCCCGAAGACTAACTTGCCTCCGAGGTAAGACATTTAGATCCATATATAACTATATCTATTCACATGATGCTAATTCGACATCCAGAAAACGGGCCAAGACTGAAGATGAGAAAGAGCAACGTCGTATCGAGCGCGTCCTTCGCAATCGTGCGGCAGCACAAACATCACGCGAGCGCAAGAGGCTCGAAATGGAGAAGTTGGAAAATGAGAAGATTCAGATGGAACAGCAGAACCAGTTCCTTCTGCAACGACTATCCCAGATGGAAGCCGAGAACAATCGCTTGAACCAACAAGTCGCTCAACTATCGGCTGAGGTCCGGGGCTCCCGCGGCAACACTCCCAAGCCCGGCTCCCCTGTCTCCGCTTCTCCTACTCTCACCCCCACCCTGTTCAAACAAGAGCGCGACGAAATCCCTCTTGAACGAATTCCTTTCCCCACACCCTCTATCACCGACTACTCCCCTACCTTGAGGCCTTCCACTCTGGCTGAGTCCTCCGACGTGACACAACATCCTGCAGCGGTGTTGTGCGACCTGCAGTGTCCGTCGCTGGACTCGAAGGAGAAGGAAGTGCCCTCTCTCTCTTTGACGTCGGCTCAAACCCTGAACCTCACGCTGCCGATGATCTTGCAGCTCCTCTTTCTGACGATGACTTCCACCGCCTATTCAACGTTGATTCACCCGTTGGGTCAGATTCTTCAGTCCTTGAAGACGGGTTCGCCTTTGACGTTCTCGACGGAGGAGATCTATCAGCATTTCCATTTGATTCTATGGTTGATTTCGACCCCGAGTCTGTTGGCTTCGAAGGCATCGAGCCGCCCCACGGTCTTCCGGATGAGACTTCTCGCCAGACTTCTAGCGTGCAACCCAGCCTTGGCGCGTCCACTTCGCGATGCGACGGGCAGGGCATTGCAGCTGGCTGTTAGCGAGCAGTTTCGCCAGGGAGATGCATCGGCTATCGATGGTAACGGAGTCCAATGGAGCTGGGAGTCCTTGTTGACCTTGGCGTGGACGATAGACCTACTCGAAAAGCCGGGACGACGCAAACGAATCTTGAGCGGTTTGAAATCAGCGAAAACTGGACGGCGAAGTAATATCGGCAAGTCTCAAAGGAGTACACGGAGTTCATGGAGTTCACGAAGCACCCAAGAGGCGTTGACGTCTCTCCTGATGGGCAAGCATAGTTGAGGTTCCGGCTGTAAATTATCATAAATCATTATAATTTTATTTTAGATTTTCAATACAGCAGTCAATGGTCTGCTTATCAGTTTCCTTTCGCTTCTTGTCATCGACAGGTGACTCGGAATATTAGTTTCTGATCCCGTTGGATTTGCAAGTAGCTGAGCACCATAGTATTGTAGGTACCACATCAGTTCTTTAGGCATCAGCGGTAATACTTTACTGCCATTGTTGTCAACTGTAGTCGGCATGCAGGCTGGAGTGGCACCTCCGCGCGCAGCGGATACGGCGATCGGGATGACGTTGCCACGCAGTCCCCCGCCCTCCCATCTAGACTGTGACTGTCTGTCCATCGGGGCTGAATGTTGCCTCCCGCTTCCAATCCTTTGACCCCAAACTTCCCATCTCTTCCATGCGCCCAAGCCTCACATTTTGCCTAGATACCCTTTTTGTGCTCACTCTATTTTTCGTCACCTGTTCCTTTAGTCCTAGAACAAAATGGTTCGGAAGGATCCTATCTTTGAAGCCCGTACCAATGTCAAGGTAGGCGGTGCCCCATTATTCCCCCTCTCTGCGGCAACATTTCAGCGTTTGCCCGCTTATCAGCACTCCCTTGTCTGAGTAATTGTCAGTTGGCTGATTCTATTATTGTCCATCTTTTAGCTACACTCTAATCGACTGAAAAAGGAGGCCGCCCGTGCCGAAGCGACCTTTAAATCCGAGAAAGCTAAGGCCGACAAGGCCATGAAAAACCGCGAATTTCAGATCGCCCGCATCCATGCCGCTTCTGCCGTACGAGAAAAACGCAGACAGGTGACCCTCAAGGCGGAGGCTGCTAGAGCAGATGTTATTATCAACGAGCTCAAGGCTGCGCAGAGCACTCGGGACACGTCTCGAACGCTTGCATTGGCATCACGGGGCTTGGATGCTGCTTCCAAGAGTGTAAATCTTGAGAGCTTGGTTTCCCATGCGAACAATTTCCTGGCGCGCTCCGAAGATTTCAAGATTGCTAGCAGTGCGATCGAGGATGTTGCGCAAGGGATCTCTTTGCAGGAGAATGGCGCAGAGGGTGAAGCCGATGTGGATCGCCTGATGGAGCAACTTGCTGATGACGCTGGGGTGGATCTCCGGATGGCTTTGGAGCAGGATGCTGCTGCTGCTCCTAAGGAGGAGGTTAAGGCTCCGAAACAAGTTGACACTGAAGTTGAGGATGGTTTGGATGCTAGGCTACGAGCTCTCAGGGCGACCAACTGAATCTCAACAACTTCGTTTTTATCGTCCTCTACGGTCACGTTAACTTTGGCCTTGTACTTGTTGTTATGCTTTCGGATTCGGCGAACTTTTGGGGTCTAACAGCGCGTTGGGTATTTTTAGCTTTGAGGTTCAGTTACTCTTGAGAGTATATTGTTCTGTGGGCGCTCATGACTATATGGTCCATCATCATGCTATGCTTTACATACTTTGTGGGTTCTTGCAATCTCTTTCGTTACATACCCGTGAAAATCGCACTTTTGCTGCATACGTTCATTGTCTTGCCATGCATTTGAAGGATTTCCAAATGGTCGGTCTTATAAGAGAGACGCACTTTTCCTCTGCACAGATACTGTTCGAGTGGTATAGATACCTTTCCTCATATTGTCATTTTCGGTCCTTTCTTGAATTGGTACGTTTCTTCCATGCACGTGCTCGATTTTCTGTCCATGGACGATTATGGAGCATTGTTACAAGGAGAATGTCTTTTATCCATACGCTCATTGTGGGGTAGGTACCATCGTCTATTCAAGACAAGTGTTTCAAGGAGCAGTGACATGGTCAGTATGTAGGATTATGGCCGCTAGTTAACAATACATATAAAAAGGGTGCATAGAGGAAATTCTCAGTAGGCGCAGCATTATACTTCATTGCCCCCTCACGGCTGTTGTAGACTCATAAATTCTAAATAGATACCAGTATTCAACGAGCAAGCCCGGCTAGCTCAATCGGTAGAGCGTGAGACTCTTAATCTCAAGGCTGCGGGTTCGAGCCCCGCGTTGGGCTTTCCTTTTTTTGCCCATCACAAAGTGTGTTTGTTCACCACCCGGCTAACATGACTTGTCCTTCATTTTTCTTCTTCCACCCGTCTTTTGCTATGCTTGTACCTTGTGCTCCCAATTCAATCGACCTCTCGTAGGCCTTCTTACAGTTCTAGCATAGCTGAAACTCTTTTCCAGAGCCACAGCCGTTTACTTCCGGATGTTGTTCCGCCACTGTCTATGAATGCCGCGTAAAATATGTTTCCGTGATCGTCATTTATCAGCCAGTGAGCCACTTTTGATCCGGGCCGTGTCATCTTCATGAGCCGGTAGTATGTTTCCAAGACCCAGCCACGAATGTTGGGATAGCGAAAAGGCTATACCCAACAACCACAAAGCTGCTTGAGTTAACCCTTGTAACAGGCGATGGATAGCTCCGCTGCGTTGGATCCCAACAAAGCATCTCATGGTCGACAAGCCGCCTGCTTGAATTGTAGGAAAAGCAAGATCCGGTGCAATCGAGGCCAGGATGATGCGTCGTGTAGCAGATGCAAACAGGCCAATGTTGAATGCATCATCCCCAGTCACCATGTCGGTAGACAGAAAGGGGTCAAAAAGTACGCGCTAAACGCATTGATCTTTCAAGGACCCCCAAGCTGACATGGTGAAAATTAGCAAACGCAAAGGCCTTGAAAAAGCATTACATCAGATTGAACAGGCCATAAAAAGGCCGAGGAGTGATGCGTCAGGGTCTGAGGCGGCCCAGAAGCTCATATCTGACCTTCAAGAGATGCTCAGCAATACACGCGAACCGCAGTTACATAGCGAGGCAGACGACCAGTCCGAAGATTTTGACCGGTCCTATACGTACCATTCGCCCCGGGATAATATCGACGATAACCTGTCTCTAGATGATGCAGAGAATCCTTTGCAACTACTCGCACGTGCATCTGATCTACAGCTATCGCCGACCGAGGTGCGTGGTGCACACAAATGGCCACCTTCAACAATTCAACCATCAGGCATGCTGCAGAACAGCACCGAAGGAAGCGACCCTGCCGCGCAATCATATTTTGTTCCTATCAGGGCAAGTCTAGATGTTGGCCCGGATATAGACCCCATCGACATCGGTCTTGTAACTCCGAGTGAAGCTGAATCGCTGTTCTCTTTGTATGCCCAGGCTGCGTTGACTAAATTTGTGCCTTCATAGCTTACTTACCATTGATGCCAGCTTTTATCAGAACCTCGCACATACTCGATGGGGCCTTGATCCCCTGGTCCATACTGTCTCGTTTGTGCGGACCCAATCCGCATTTCTATTCACCTCTATCATGGCCGCAGCTGCATTGTTCTTGCCATCTGCTACAGCACTGTCGAAGCGGCTATCTAGACACTGCAAGACACTTGCTCAGAATGTCATTGTTCGACGCCACAGATCTGTTGAGATCGTCCTAGCCTTCATGGTGAATGTTCCATGGATGGAGCCAGGTAGTTGCTTAGGAGATGACGATACATGTTCCTACATTGCCATGGCTCTAGCTGTTGCTTTGGATCTTTCGTTGAACAAGATTGTGCTTCCATCATCTAGCTTTGAGCCGAGTCTACTTAGGAGACTCGCCAAGGCCGAGACTATCGATGCAAAGAGAGCTCTATACATGGACCGATTTGATGGCGTAGAGCCGACATCTGCATGGGGCCGAAGACTTCTTCGAAGGCGCGAGAGAACTTGGATAGCGCTGTTTGTTCTCGAAAGAGGGTAAGCATTTCATTCATCAGAAGCTCTGCTATTATACCTGTGAGGCACTACTACCACATCAGCCACGTTCCTCCATACCACACTTCCCTCATGGCACACCCTGCTGCCTACTTCGAAGGGTAATGCTTTCTCCTTATAAAATTTTCCTCTTAGTACAGGCAGAGGCCCTTCCATCTTCTTGACAGAGATATTTACCTATCTGAAGTATGAAATACTGCCTCGGGCCTGAAATCAACCAAAACTACAGATAATAGAGCCTCTGCCCGTACTAAGAGAAAAACCTTATAAGCAGAAAGTCTTACCCTTCTTCAAGATGGGCGGCAGGTTGTGACACGAGTGAAGTGTGATGTAGAGGACGCCTGGCTGGAGTGGCGGTAGCATCTTCCTTATACATGGGTGTAGCACCCGTCTAACCCTTGGCTTGCAGTGTATGTTTAGCTCGCGGACGAAGCTATACAGTTCCTTCGACAGCCCTTATAAACCACTGCGATAAGTGGCATGTGTCCGATTCTGCAGACTCGCGCGATGGCCCGATGAACTCAATGGCTGTCCTCAGACGGAACCTGGTAAGTACACTGGCGGTCTCAAGCGTACGAAAGGACCTTTTTGACCGGAGCGAATAGGATGGTCTCTTCCTGAGAGTAAAAGCCAATTGCGATAGCCACCAGGTCACAGATGCCGGGTCTGAGGTAGCGCAATCGTACGTGTGCATCCCACAAGTTGTGGACACGCGAATAACTCACGGCGTTCCCAGGATCAAGAATATGATTGAAAGCTTCTACGACCAGTGGTATGAGATATGGGCACCTGAGATAGGGGAAGGTCACTGTAAGTCCCTCGTAGGGGTGTGGCAGGCTCGCATCAGCCCATTGTACAAACGGCTAATCTACATCAAGCACGCTCCCTTCCACCGTATGTGGAGATTCTTGTAACGCATACGAGGTTATCGACATATGGTGGTGTTATCAATCACCCTACAGCACCCGTGGAAGTCAAAAGATTCTTTCGTGCCGCCGGCCTATCTTCTGCACTAAATGTCTTGAGAGCAGCTATACAAGGAGAGGCGCGATTGAAGTCTATGCCTAACAACACAGTCATCATGATATCCTTTGCTGCATGCTCAGCACTTAGTCTTAGCGTCATGCCAGAAGACAGCAGGTCTAGTTTGGCGCCAAGTGTTCATAATCTGATCGAAGAAACTGCAGGGGTCCTCGAGCGTATCGGAGCTACTACCCGCCATAGAAACGGCGCCTCTGTTCTCTATGGGCGCTTTTTGAGGGCGCTTGTCAGACGCGCTCCTGTAAGCGCAGGCTCCCAGAACGGACCGCGAGGCTTGGTCGAAACGGGGGCCCTACAACCTCCGCCAGACTTGGATGGGTATTGCCCAGTGGCTTCCGGGACACAGCCATCCTCGATACCGTCGCCTTTTATATGGCCTGAACCACTTAGATTTTCTGCCATGTCCGATGACCAGATCATAGACGCAGTGAACCGGGCTGGCACTGCATTTGGGACAACTGTGCCTGACGTCCCACTGGATGACCTAATGACTTGGGACTGGTTCGACGTCGGAAATGCGGCAGATTTTGGCTTCTGAATGGGTGGAAGCTTGCGCGCAGATCGGTGGCTACGCGGATTGATGAATGATCTCATTTCTGGTTCCGATCCGAAGGGTCCTGGGAGCTCCGCCGCTCGGCGACCAGAAGTAGCGCCGAGTGCCGAGGGGTGCCGTTCTCAGCTTCTCATATTAACCAGCCCGATTCCCTGCTTTTCTTTAACTGGATAGCTTCTGCAACACTTTCTCGATTGCTATTTAGATTATTTTGTCGCCACGAGGGAAAATGGCAACCATTCGATTATCTGCGTCGGTCTTGTCGCGAAGGTTGATGCTCCGTCCGCAATGCTATCGACGGTCGCAACCACTCACGAGCCTCTATGCGCCTCCCGCTACTAAAGCCGGTAGCCGGGCCAGATACTCAACTTCTACACATGAGCAAGCTCCGCGGGCTCCGAAGATTGATCGTGCCGCTTCAAAGTTATTCAAAGATGCGGATGCGGCCGTAGCAGATCTGAAGAGCGGGTCAACCATTCTTAGTTCAGGCTTCGGCCTATGTGGTGTCGCAGGTAAGGTCTCTCCTCGCGCTTTGCCAGATAATAATACAGTTTGACTGACAAAACAAAACTACTGTAGAAACGTTGATCTCTGCGATACATCGCAGAGGGGCCGACAACTTGCATTCCTTGACGGCGGTTTCGAACAATGCTGGTCTCGCTGGGAAGGGCGGGCTGTCTACCCTAACGCAAGCGGGACAGGTCAACAGACTCATACTTTCCTACCTGGGAAATAACAAAGCTCTGGAGAAGAAGTACTTGACGGGAAATATTGCCATCGAACTGTGTCCACAAGGCAGTCTGGCCGAGCGACTACGTGCTGGAGGAGCTGGGATCCCCGCGTTTTATACCCCCACGGGAGTTCGTAAGTCGTTGGTCACTAAGGGATACATGATATAAGTTACTGACTTGCTTTTGGCAGATACTCTGCTTCAGAAGGGAGAGATCCCGGTGCGTGTAGACGAATCCGGAAAGGTGCTCGAGCATGGCAAGCCCCGCGAGACAAGGGAGTTCAATGGAAAAACTTATATGATGGAGACTGCACTCAATGGGGATGTGGCGATTCTCAGAGCATGGAAGGCAGATGCTGCAGGAAATTGTGTTTTCCGGTAGGCATTTCTCGACTCTTAAATACGATGAATTGCTAATGATGTGACTTAGTTACACTACGAAGGCATTCGGCCCCATCATGGCGAAGGCAGCAGCCCTTACCATTGTGGAAGCCGAGAACATTGTCCCCATTGGCTCAATCGACCCTAATGATGTCGATCTACCTGGAATCTTTGTTGATAGAATTGTCCCCGCAACCGATGAAAAGCATATCGAAATCAAGAAACTGCGATCTGACAAGGGTGATGAGGCAAACAAGAAGGCAGATGACGCTGCGACTATCCTGCGGAACCGGATCGCCAAGCGGGCTGCTCGGGAACTCAAGCAGGGTTACTATGTCAACCTCGGTGTTGGTATTCCTACACTGGCCCCCTCATTTCTGCCCGAAGACGTAAAGGTTTGGATCCAATCCGAGAACGGTATCCTGGGAATGGGACCTTATCCGACCGAAGAGGAAGTTGATGCGGATGTCATCAACGCCGGCAAAGAGACCGTCACTCTGGTACCGGGCGCTTCCACATTTGATAGCAGTGAGTCGTTTGGAATGATTCGCGGCGGGCATGTAGACGTGTCGATCTTGGGGGCTTTGCAGGTCGGCGCGAACGGCGACCTGGCGAACTACATGATTCCCGGCAAGGTGTTCAAGGGAATGGGAGGAGCCATGGACTTGATCTCCAACCCCGAGAAGACCAAGATTGTGGTTGCCACCAGCCACACGGCGAAGGACGGATCCCCGAAGATTGTGGACCAGTGCAGCCTTCCTTTGACTGGCGCCAACTGTGTCAGCACTATTATCACCGAACTGGTAAGTGGGAAAAGAGCCCTGGCCGATGACGGCAATCAGCAATCTTTCAGGGAAGGAAAGACAGAACTAACAGCGGACTATATAGTGCGTCTTCCAGGTCGACCGGACCAAGGGCGAGCTTCTGTTGACGGAACTGGCCCCAGGCGTGGAGGTCGAGGAGATTCAAAACAAGACTGGGGCGAAGTTTACGGTTGCGGAAAACCTGGAGATCATGGAGTAAAATGAGTCGAGGCTGGGTGTACATGTTATGAACCGCCCGTTACCTGTAAATCTACTTCTTTGGTTATATATATTGTCAAGACAAAGGATCAGCTGACCCTGGCTGGAGTGAAAGTCTCAACATTATATGGAGTATCATTACTCTTGCCCGGTCTTCTTCACCTCAATGATCCATAATTACCGTACCCAGGAAATCAACCACACATATGATATAATAGATCAATGATATACTACTGCATGCAAGATAAGGTGAGCTTATCCAGCTTTCAAAGACTGTATTGTATGTATATTGAAAGCCCTCCAGAGAACTAGTAGTGCTTACTTACTTACTACCAGCATACATAGCCGACCACCCAAAAAGGGCATGGAACCAATGTATAAACGGGCATCTATTCCGTTACTGCCATCTCCAATGTCCTTTTCGCCATCAAAAGAGTAGATAGAGAGAGATGCGGCGTATATATATCATGTTTGCAATTGCACCTCCAGGAGGACATTCGGAATGGCGGTGCTATTCGCCGGCATGGAATAAGTGAAGTTCCAAAACCTAAAGTCACTATGAAATGTGTTAGCTTATTGATCACCAAAAAAGGCGCTAGAGAGAGGCTTTATATACTTGATGACTTGGTCGCTCAAGCTATACGAGATGTTCAGGGTATTCGGGTCCATATTGCCCGACACGGTAATATCCAGGCCAACAATGTCCTCCCAGCCGGCCACATTCCTTTGGGTCTCAAACGGAGATACCAGAAACTGGAACTGAGAGGCCGACGTTCCACGTGGATAGGTCAGGTTCAGATACCCGGGTCCAACCTCGGCATTCAGAGCCGGCTCCGTCGCATACAACTGTGTGATGTTTATTAGTTATGGCCTTTGATTCCGTATAGTTGTTCTAGGAAAACCCACTGTTATCCACCCTGTTCCAGCCCCAGTATCCCACTGAATGACAGCCGGGTTAAACTGTGATGGATTAATGGCCGGGCCACCAACAACAGACTCATTGAAGGTCTCTGCTCCAATGCTGATGCCTTCACTCAGCCACGCAGCCACCTGTCGCGGGAAGGAGTCATATGGAATAGAGTAAGCGGAAGTGTTGACCGTATGCTCACCAGGGAAGGCCTTCAGGGCTTGAACGGCCGATGACGGGACAAGCGAGTTATGAAAATTCGACAGGATAGCTATCAGGGGCGAGATGGAAAAGTCGGAGTTATGAGACATCATATACACCTTGTATTTTATCGGTTGTTAGCGCCCAGACCCAATCAGCACAGTAATGATCCACCCCCCGGCCGGTCCTGCTCACCTTATCAATAACCGGAGAAGTCTCTTTCCCGACCAGCGACCAAATATGTCCCGACATGATACCAAAGTACTTTTGCATATCAAACCCATAAGCTCGATCCCAAGGACCTGCGAGGTTCTTCAGCCCAGCATGATACAACTCCCCAATGGTGTCCCATGTATCCTGCAACATCTCCTTCCCTTTCCCCTTCATGACCGAGTCCTCTGCAGCGTACTTGGCCCACATGGTCAACGCAATCAGGGAAACGCCCGTGTACGTGGCACTGTTGAATTCCGAAAGCGTGTCTGCGCGATCGAACAGCTGGATGATCTCCTTTGCGTACGTCTCGCCGGAATTTGTCATATTCTGGTCTCCAAGTTTGCGTCCCGTCCAGCCTGTGATGATGGCACGCATTAAGGACTGCGCAGTCAACTAGTCAGCTAAACTCTCACTTATTCGTATGGAGAGTTGATGAATCCTCACTCACCGGGTTCGTATACGAGGGATACAAATTATCATCATCCACTCCACCGACCCGATAACTGTCCCCGGTAGTGTCATTGTAAAGCGAGGCATGCATCAGTTGCGTCATATCTGCATCGATCAGATGCGGGAATTCCTCGAGAGCTATGATAAAGGCTGTGCCGATGAACTCTCTCCAGTTGGGGTCCCAGGTATCGTAGATGATCGGCGGGTATGCTGGGGTTCCTACTGTAGGTTCTTCGGGATATTGCTGGTAGTCTCCGTACCTGTGTGAGACGCATAGGCCGGCCGGTTAGTCAATTATTATGTTTAGGGGAAAATGCCTCCCAAGGTGCTAATCACACCCACCATTGATCACTTGTATCCTTGAACTGCGCATCTATCACATTTCGAATGATAGTCATGGCCTGAGCTACGTCATCGCCCTGATCCCGAGCCAACAATCCCACGGCATACCACACGGACGTCCTGGTATCGTGTCGCAGCGCCGTCGCAGCACTCGGATCATAGACATATCCCGCCGAAGCATCATATATCCGATCGAGGTAATCCATTGACTCTGTGAATAGGTGGCATGTATTTGTGGGCCAGGATGACTGGCACCAGCCATTATTATTGCTAGTACTGGCTGATACCGCCAGGGTAGTAGATCCGACGAGTGCGAGCACGACTGCTCTCAGATACCGCGACATTTTGTCTAGAAACAGAACCAGAAAATCCGAGTTAATCCTCACAAAGTACGCACAAACAGCGGGAACAGGGAATGCCAGTGTTTTATCCGTCTACATCATCGCTTTCCATCTGCGGGGGAAAATAAATACAACACAACCCCATCGACGACCATTATTGGTGCGAGTTATTTTCCCCCTCTCCCCCTCTGTGGGGTTCGGGTTTATCGCAAGTTTTGTTTGTTGACTTCGGTCTTTTAGCCGAACTGCATGGACTGGTTGACTCTCCTATATACTAATTCCTAATCAATCGGGTTGGGATCGGCCGAAATGCGGGGTTGCAGGTGAGCTAGCATTTCATTTATCCCAGTCCCTATCTATCTGTCTATCTATTTATCCCTTAGTTGTACAACCAGTGATAGATAGATAAGATAGGGCTATAAGTATTATAAATAGATGTTACAGAGAAGTTTAGGCGGCTTCTTCATCTTCATTCCTTGGTGCCGGTCGCCGCTGCTGCTTTTCCTTTCCGGCAAAACTGAGCAGCATGCCAATGTCATAGACAGCCTTCAAAATACCCGCAATGGTGAATGAAAGCCCGAAGACACCTCGATCAGCCAAGATACCGGTCAACAGAGGTCCAAGGCTCTGGGCACAGGTTTTGACGACATTAATCGATCCCATGATAGCCGTGCGACGGTCCGGCGGCAGCGCTGCAGCAAGGAAGGCCGAGCGAGGAGCCACATCCATAGTTTGAGAGCAGGCGCGGAGCACCAAAAAGGTCAGCGCCAGCGGGAGAACCGAAGGAACTGGGATAAGTGCCAAGCAAACAGCGGAGGGAAGATGAGTGAAGACCATGGTCTGCAGTAGTCAGCAAAAGAGTGGCCTGATGTCGGAAAAGGATATATCTCGGAGAGAGCAAACCTTGACATTGCCAATGCGCTTGGCGATGGATGAGGCCACCAGCACCGAGGCCGCAGAGATAAGGCTAGTTGTGAAGAAGATGGATCCGAGTGACCCTTCAGGGAGGGAGAACTTGCGCTTAAAGAAGTATGTCATCCACGACCTATACGACATGTCAGTCTCATTGAACTATACGGTTTAATGGGGCCAGCCTTGAAAGAGTTGCCATACAGAGATGCCAGTCCAGAGGCGAACGAGTCCAATGCGAACAGGATCGCAAGTCGCAGAAACAAGGAGACGACCTCGGAATCGCCGAGGAAAGAAAGGATCGATTTCTTCTTTTGAGGCTGCTGCTCTTGAGGGGCGGCGTTGCTCGTTTGATCGCCCAGCAAAGGTTGTCGTTCACCCTCATTAATAGACCGTTGCGCAGGCTTCTTCTTCTCGGCCTCGACAGCGGAGCTCAGTGCAATAGACAGGAGAAACTTGAGCGCGCCGATAGCGGCGTAGGCAAAAAAGATTACTCGACAGGCGGGGATATAGGGCCATCCCCAGATAACCTGAAGCAGGTTGATGGCCCATCCACCGGTCATCATGCCCAGAGCGGTGCCCGCATTGCCAATCAGCGAGTACCAAGCGAAGATATCGCTCAAGATCTCTTTGGGGGTCAGATGGGCCAAAGTTGATTCTTCGACAGCCCGGAAGGGGCCAATTTCGTTTCCACTGTTATTGAGTTTGTAAGCCCGTATTGTCGGGGATACTATAAATAGTCGGATGCTTCGCTCGGAATTCGGAGAACTCACCTCGGACTTATGACACCGAAGACGGCCGCCGCCAGAAGGACCCAGTAATTGCCGACCGAAGCAAAGAGGATGCCGCTGCCGACCATCAAAGCTGAACCCAGGGCGAGGACGGCCCTGCGACCCATGGCATCGGCGAACAGAGTGAGGAGGAAGCTGATAGCGACATCGCCCACCAGGGTCAAGGTCATGAAAAGACCGATGCGTTCATCGGAGATATCCAATGCTGAGAGATAAGCAGCCAGTATCAGAGTTGAACCACCGTAGGCGAAGAGACGCACAAAGCGCTGGGCGCAGAGCAGTTTGACATCTCGAGGGGATTGCCAGACTGAAGTCAGGCCAAGTTCAGCGAGGATGCGGTGATGCACACGCGTTCCTCGCGCAGAGGCGGAGGAGGGTGGATCGGACGGAGCCGACATGATAATAATGCGCCCTTAAGTAAAATAGGCAATCAACCCCTCAATTGAAAAAGTATGGTAGTAAATATACAAATGTAATGTAAATATGGACAAGAAGAAAAGGAGGTAGAGAAGGGAGAAAGAGAGCGAAGAGGGGGAAGGAAGAGAGTAGAAAGAGAAGAAGGATGGAGGGGACGGGGAGGCGGAATTGAAGTTCTGCAGATCGTCTCCTCCAGGCAGCCAGGCACCCCTGCAGCCAGGCACCCCATCCAGGGTCCAATCCAGAAACATCAATTAATCGGCTGTCATCAACACCTCCAATTGGACCTGCACTCAAGTTAAGTCTTTAATTCACTTAGAAGAAGTTCATCTTGCTCTAAGTGATTACTCCACGAAATGCCCAGCATTTTCGTCAATCATGTTGGGAGTTAGTATGTCTGTTCAGCCAACATGACACGCCCTGATCCTTCCTCTGTCCTCGTCTTTCTCCTATTTTGCTCTTATACTTTTTCATTTATCATAGTCCATGATGACCTAGTCTCTCGTGCCTTACCTTGACCCCTTCTGCTTCTCCATTCCACTTAGAAAGAGCTTTTCCCTCACCGAGACCTTCACCGGTTGTAGCTACACCAGGACAGTCAGTCTCTTCTATGCCGAACTACGACCAGAAAAGCCTAATGTTGATTTAGCTCCTCATAGGAATTTGTGAATATTCTCTTGTGTTACATCCAAATCTACTATGGAGCATCCAGCTGGCAGGGAGATATAGGAACAACGTATAATAAGCAGATGAGTAATAACTACCGAGGGTGGCCCACTAATAGGGCTGATAAACACTCAGCCTTACAGTAGAAGTCAACCTTTTCAGACTTCATTCATCTAAACCTCATAACCTACCCACAAAAGAAAAGTGATAGTAGCTATACCGTTTACCAATATGAGACTAAAATAGTTCTATGGCGTTGCCAACCTGTGGTTCCTTGGTCAATTATTCAGTTAACAACGCAGATAATCCAGAGGCACGAAAGGGAAAGTCAGGCGAACCGATGTACAGAAAATAAATAAACCAAGGATATTCCTACGCTCCTCAATGCTGCTGTTCATAACATTAAGTCACAATTCACAACATATAACATCCTCGATGGTCTAACGGTCATGATTTCCGCTTGTCAATCCCTACTGGGAACAAGCGCGGGAGACCTGGGTTCGACTCCCAGTCGGGGAGATGTCTTTTTGGTTTTTGGCCTTTTGAACCGTCCAACCCTATCGGGCCACCAAGATGTCTTGGTTGACTTTATCTTTGTAAGGGTAAGACGACAGGAGATAAAATAATCAGAAAGGAGAAATCTATCGTGATATAGGGACAATATAAACGCTACTCTATTTACAAGAACAATGCACATCAAAACACACTCAACAAAGGCTCCAACTCTCGTCTCTCGCTCAGTAACTGTTCAAAGCGACGCCGTTATAGGAGTTTCCGTCTTCGGCGGCCACTTGAGACGCCGTTCAGCGCGGACATACAGGTTATTCGGCCTGATCAGCTGGAACATAGGATCGTACTCAATCGGGCCGTCAGTCTCCTTGGTGAACTTGTACCGGTACACCAGTTTCGGCAAGAACACCTTAACTTCTTGCAGAGCAAAGTTGAAGCCGATGCACATCCGAGGACCGGCCGCGAAGGGAATGTAGGATGATTTGTGTCGGTTCTTGACCTCTTCAGTATCCCATCGGTCTGGGTTGAAACGCGTCGGGTTGTCCCAGACGTCGGGATTATTGTGAAGGTGATGAAGTGCACCGATGACGACCGAGTCTTCAGGCAGTTTGTAGCCACCAGGCAGAATCATGTCCACCTTGGCTGTACGCGCGGGTTGGTAGGACGGGTTGTGTCGGCGCTGGGTTTCTTTGATAAACTTGTCCATGAATGTCAGACGGTCGGTCAGGTCGGCGGTGATTTGCGTATCGGCGTCGATGCCGTTATCCACAAGCTCTTGCAAAAGCCTATCCTGCACACCAGGGTAGTTGACGAGACTGTAAATCAACCATGACAGCAGCGAGCTGGTGGTGGTGAAGCCAGCTCCAGTGGCGACAACCAGGGCTTGGATTAAGCTCGTTTTGGGCAACTTTTCGCCTTTGTTATCCGTCGCCCGGATAGCGTAGTCTGTTCGGCAGTTAGCGGCTGTCTGGAAGGTGATAGCTCTGGGTTGACATACCAATCATGTTATGGGCTTTTAGGGCGGCATCCTGAAGTGGGAGATCCTCAACACCACCACGACTAGCGTTCTGGATGGACTCGTCGACAATGTTCCAAACCCGTCCACGGATTTGTTGAAGACGTTTAGGGTCTCCGAAGGGCAGTTTTGCGTACCAGTCACCTCTGGCAGTGATCTTCTTGTTCAGTTCAAGGGACTCGGCAATCAGAAGGATCAATTCATGCGGGGGTGCATTCATGTTGGAGAAGTGTTGGAAGTCAATTCCCAAGACTAGCTTTCCAACCGCCTGAGAGCCAAGCTTCAACATGTATTGATAGACATTCCACGCTTCGCCTTGCTCATCAAAGGCATCAAACACCTTGAAGGCATCCTCAACCGTCTGCTGCATGACTGGCGCATAATGACGGACAGCCTTCGGGCCGAATGCGGGTGGGAGAAATTTATGGGCAGTTCTCCATTCAGGTGTGTCGGTGTCGCCGAGGAACACACCCGCTTCTTTGTTTTTGATTGCATGTAGCGGATGGGATTCATTGATTTTCTTAGTAAAGAAATCACTTTCCGAGAATACAATCGCACTGAGCTCTGGGTCGTTCGTGTGGTATACCGTGCGGCCGTAATTAGTAGTCTTGAAGAGAGGCCCGTACTGCTCAAACAAGCGCTGGTGGTTGCCCAAGTGATCGGGGTAGATTTCAAAGAAATTTCCAATTATCGGAAGCCCCTTTGGCCCCGGGACCTCTCTCACTGGTTTCCCATCAATGGCGATACTAATTGGGGTTTCAGAAGCGATGATCTCAGCCACACTGGTGAAGACGGCGTCTTCAGACTGAAAGCCAATGCCTAAAGTAGTCAGCTTGGAGCCGATTCTGGAAAAGGACAATGGGAGATAGGAGGTTTGGTACCATTGGGGTCAACTATCGCAAAATGCGCAGCGATTAGGTTTCTAAGCCCATCATAATCTAGCGATGAGTCCACTTCGATCTCTCGAGCGGTTG